AACCCACCCACACAACTCCCAATCGGTGATGGGGCAGTTGTGGAGAGAGTGGAGAGCTTCCCAGTGTGCTCATGACTGGCTCCGGTTTGACAGCAGAGGTCTCAGAATCAGTCGAGCGGCATTATCTTTTCATCAGTTGCGTAACGCTGTGTGGAAGCTACCTGGTCTGTCGCTCCACACGAAGCTTCAAGTCTTCTCGGCCACGGTCATTCCATCACTCCTCTACGCTTGCGAAAGTGGATCCCCCTAATGGAGCATCTTCGCAGATTGGAAACATTTAGGCTGGCCTGCCTACGATCCATCCTGGGTTTAACCAGGCTGGATTGTGTGAGGAGCTCACAAATCCTAGAAAGATCTGGGCAAAGTCCTATCGGTGTGCTCCTCCGGCAGGCAAGGCTGCATTGGCTGGGTCATGTAGCCCGCATGCCCAGTCACCGCATGCTTAAACAGCTTTTGTTCAGCCGGATAGAGGGGGCTAAGCGGGTGCGGCACGGGCTAGAAAAGGGATGGAGTGACGTGGTACAGGAGGACGTGGAGCTGAGTGGACTTGCCGATGACTGGTACCAGCGGTGTCAAGATCGGCCTCTGTGGAGGAGGCACGTGAAGGACGCTACTGGGCAGTTGGAGGCAGTCGCCCTCCAACAACAACGGAGGTCGGAGGAGCGATGCTCACAACAACGAGCAGAGTGTCGGGTGCCCCCTCTTGGGGGTAACCCTGTAATTTAAATCTGTTCACGTGTCCTCCCGGGTCAACCAGAATGCCATGGCCTCACACAACCTTCCCCTTAGGTCGGCACCCACACACAGTGTCCTGTAGGGCCGGTACTGCACGTACAGCATGGTGCCATCCAGTGATGTCACTACATATATACGTGCGTAGTTTAGTCCTTATTCAGTGCTTACTCGGCGCTTCTTGGCTTGTCTCTTGTATTCATTAAATAGAGCATCTCTTGTCACTGTCCAGCAATAGTCTGCAAGCATTGATCGGCTCCATTTGCCCTGATAGCGTTTCTCCATTGTTGCAATGTCCTGGTGAAATCGCTCACTGCTCCGCAGTTCGGTGGGAAAAAAATCTAGAAAAGAGTGCAAAAAATGTAGCTTTAGTGACATGTTGCAGCAAAGGCTTTTGTATGCCTTGAGGAGGTTTTCCACCAACTCGCTGTAGTTGTCTGCCTTGTTGTTTCCGATCAAATTCGTTTCCACTAACTGGAAGGCTTTCCATGCCGTATTTTTATTGCCACACAGTGCACTGTCAAATGCATCATCTCGAAGTTCACGAATCTGAGGACCAACAAAGACACCTTCCTTTAACTTAGCTTAACTTAACCTTGGAAATTTTCCACGGAGGTACTAGAAAGCTGCTTGTGTTCTGTCCATGGCTTTGACAAAGTTCCTCATCAGACCCAGCTTGATGTGTAAGGGTGGTAACAACATTTTCCTTGATTCAACAAGTGGTAGATGCTGAACACTTTTCCTCCCAGGCTCCAATGACTGTCAGAGTGGCCAATCTATCTTGATGTAGTGGGAATCTCTCGCACGACTATCCGATTCGCAGTGAAAACAGCAGCAGTACTTTGTGTATCCAGTCTGTAGACCAAGCAAGAGAGCAACAACCTTCAAATCGCCACAAAGCTGCCACTGATGTTGGTCATAGTTTATGCGCCTCAAAAGTTGTTTCATGTTGTCATAGGTTTCCTTCATATGGACTGCATGCCCAACTGGAATTGATGGCAAAACATTGCCATTCTGTAGCAAAACAGCTTTAAGACTCATCTTCGGTGAATCAATGACCAGTCTCCACTCATCTGGATCATGAACGATGTTGAGGGCTGCCATCACACCATCAATGTTGTTGCAGGCTACAAGATCACCTTCCATGAAGAAGAATGGGACAATATACTTTCGACGGTCACAGAACATGTAAACCCTAACATCACCTGCCAAGAGATGCCACTGCTGCGGTCTGGAGCTCAACAGCTCTGCCTTACTCTTGAGTAGTTCCAAATCCCTGAAAAGGGTTTTCAGTTGACCTTGTGTTATAAGGTGTGGTTCAGAGAGGAGGATGGGAGAAAATTTGGGTCATGTGACCGTGATGGTTCAGGACCAGAAGTTTCATCCTCTTCCTCGTCTGACTCAAGTGAGAATGATTCTGGTGCATCAGGAACCGACAGTCCTTCTCAGTGGGGTACTGGGCGTATATCTGATGGAATGTTTGGATAATGCACAGTCCACTTTGTCTTCTTTGACACACCTTTCCCAACTGGAGGTGCCATGCAGAAGTAACAATTGCTGATATGATCTGTTGGCTCTCTCCAAATAATTGGCACTGCAAAAAGGCATAGGTTTCTATTTCCTGTTCAACTACTGGTGAAGATTTGTTGCACAAGTGTTGCAGCATATGTGTGGGACCCACATCTTGTCCTGATCTCCAGTTTTGCAGCCAAAATGAAGGTGATAGGCTTTCTTAACCATAGTGATTATACTGCGCTTTTGTGATGCAAAAGTCACTTCACCGCAAACAAAGCAGAAGTTATCTGCTTTGTTCACACAAGTACGAGGCATCTCTCTGCTCACATAAAACAGAAATGCGTCCCTTTGCAAAATCAAACACTGACAAATAAGAGAGCACGACACTGTATGATTTCTAGAGCTGATATAGGGCAATTTGTTCAGCAGAGGGATGTAAGCCTAGTTATGATTGCATCATCCATGACTTTTAGGAATGACATGATGCAATTCATATCATGTATGATGCAATACCAGGTTCAGATTGCATCATTCATTGTTTTGCTCAAAAAGCAAGTATTTTCCAAACCCAGTCATAGATTTATTCATAGATCCAGTCAAATATGTATTTTAGTCATTTCTGGTTTAAATTGAGATCCCTTCCCTTTATAACTCACTTACCCTACGCCATTCCCAAGTCAAAGGTCGTGTATACTGACCCAGTAGCATATCTTGAAAACTAGAGGCAATCAACAATGTTAAGCATCGTTTTCATTCTCAGTGACCCAGAATAAGTAAAGTTGGACCACATCTTTTTCGGAAGCATTTTGGCTGTAGACCAGTGTTATCATTCAGACCTGACCAAGATCATTAATTCATCTCTTGACTGTTTAATTTCCAAACCTTGTTATGGATCTGCATGTCACGTCGAATCGATAAGAGTTGCAACACGAAACTAATAAATCTACGCGCTTGTGATTTACCGGCGCTCAGGGATTCAAGTAATAAAATCTATTTTGGGTTCCCATTTGCCACTGAAGCGGATTTGAGCACCATCATGAAGGTAACGGGCTAATTCACATCAACTCCCCCCGCCCCCCCCGGTGGTATTGCTCACATCACACACCTGCGTTGTCATCTGACACACCTAGATAAGGTGGGGGGGGGGTTGTTTTTGCCATCCTCATCACGCCGTCTGTCCCACGCGTGCACAACAACAACACCCTCCACTAAGTGGTGGTTAGGTCACCACGGCACATGTGTCAGGCCAGGTGTACTTTGAGGCCACGTGAAGTGTCGAAGGCTCGCTGACAGGAGATTACGGGGACAGACCCAGCAGGTGCCATGGGTTGACTGAGATGACTGGCAGATACACCAGCTGTGCCACTTGATCAAATTTATCCACCCGGCGCTCCGCTCGTTGTTGTGAGCGTCGCTCCTCTGCCGTCCGTTGGTGTTGGAGGGCGACTGCCTCCAACTTGACCAGTAGCAGCGTCCTTCACGAGCCTCCTCCATCGAGGCGGATCTTGACACCGCCGGTACCAGCCTTCAGCAGGTCCACTCAGCTCCACGCACACACAGTACCCCCGTCTCCCACGCACTCGCCACGCCACCTCTCCATTGCATACATCGGTACCGTGAAGCAAAGCACGCGTGTAAAAAAATCAACCAGAATACCACAACCTGAATTCATGACATTGTATTATTTATATCCACCGGTGGGTATAATTACGTACTTTTATATATTTTTCAACGGTTTTACTTAACTTGACTACTGTATTTGTCGGGGTCAAATCTTGTAATCAAAATTTAGTCCACTTCCCGTTGTCCAATCAATTCCAAATGTTGCACACGTACTCAGATCCGGCGATAATGCATGCCTCAATCAAAATCGGCATAAATTAATTCGCTACTTTAAAGCAATTTACATTTTGTCTGGACGCCTTATTACGTACTGTATATATTTGTGTAGGTCAAAAACGCCGCGGTCCCTAAACTCTCGAATCGCCTGCTCCGTGTGAACCAGTTACGGAAGTAATCAATCAATTAAAGTAAGCGTTGATGTGGGGGCAAGCGCCGCATCATTGACGTACTTCTCGACCGTGAGTTAAACGAAGTTGTTAATTAAACCGTTATAGTCTTGGTTCTTTCGGTGAAGTCACGTAGAAGGGAAACAATAAAATAATAAAAATATAAAACAATACAATTATCACGACGTTTCGACTGCAACACAAGCAATCATCATCAGGTGTGAAAACCGAAAGAACCAAGAATATGAATCCCTGCAGTCACGAAAGCTTTAAATAAAAAAATAAAACCGTTGTTTAACAAAAACACTATTTTAAGTTTATTTAATTTACACCCATCTAGTACTTATGTGCGCTCGGGTGGGTGTGAGAATGTTTGAGCCGTGGGTGAATGAGTGTGCCTGGGCAGGTGAACGTATGTGGGTGGGTATAGGAGGGTGGGCGCATGTTAGGACAATGTGGGTGGTGGTCGCCCCCCACCCCCTCGTGTATCGTGCCGGCTTTCATATGTGCTTGCCCCAACATAATATTCAGGATAAAACTGGAGGATCTTTGTCTTTGTGTGCGCTATATTTTCATCGGCTGCGGGAAAGCTGCGTGGCAGGTCACGCCAAAGTGCTCCACGATAACGTGGAGCACTTTGAATGAACTTCTGCGCCGGCTTGAAACAATCAGGCTGGCCTGCCCACGATCAATCCTGGGTTTTGCCAGGACTGGTTTGTGTGAGCTCACAGATTCTGGCAAGATCTGGACACGGTACCAACAGTGAGCTCCTCCGGCAGTCGAGGCTGCGTTGGCCGAGTCATGGAGAGCACATTCCCAGTCAACGTGTTTGTCCGGAGAGAGGGGGCTAAACGGGCGCGACACGGACTGTAAAGATGGGCTGATGCGGTACAGAAGGATGTGGAGGCTCGCGACGGTGTCTACTGGACAGCAGGAGGCAGTCACTTGCTCCAGCTACAGAAGAGAACGGCGGAGCGATGTTTACAACAACGGGCAGAGGAGCGCCGGGATGATGATGATACAGTCCACAATTTACATCCGTCAGTGAACACGGTACGCCCGAGTACGCCCCGCGATCTGCCCGTGAGCCATCCGCACTTGGCGCGGCCTCAAAGCGCACCCAGCCTGGCACAAGAACTGTGGCGACAATCACAGTCAGTGGGGAAACCGGCGGCTGTGAGCGGGTGAGTGGGTGAGTGAGTGAGCAGGTGAGTGGGTGAGTGGGTGAGCGGGTGAGTGAGTGAGCGGGTGAGTTGGTGAGTGAGTGAGCGGGTGAGTGAGTGAGTGGGTGAGCGGGTGAGTGAGTGAGTGAGCGGGTGAGTGGATGAGTGAGTGAGCGGGTAAGTGAGTGAGCGGGTGAGCAAGTGAGTGGGTGAGTGAGTGAGCGGGTGAGCGGGTGAGTGAATGAGCGGGTGAGTGAGTGAGCGGGTGAGCGGGTGAGTGAGCGGGTGAGTGGGTGAGTGAATGAGCGGGTGAGTAAGTGAGTGGGTGAGCGAGTGAGTGAGTGGGTGAGTGAGTGAACGGGTGAGTGGGTGAATGAGTGAGCGGGTGAGCGATTGAGCGGGTGAGTGAGTGAGCGGGTGAGTGAGCGGGTGAGCGAGCGGGTTAGTGAGTGGGTGAGCGGGTAAGTGAGTGAGTGGGTGAGCGGGTGAGTGGGTGGGTGAGTGAGCGGGTGAGTGGGTGAGTGAGCGGGTGAGTGAGTGAGTGGATGAGCGAGTGAGCGGGTGAGCGAGTGAGTGGGTGAGCGGGTGAGTGGGTGAGCGGGTGAGTGGGTGAGCGGGTGAGCGAGTGAGCGGGTGAGTGGGTGAGCGAGTGAGCGGGTGAGTGGGTGAGTGAGTGGGTGAGTGAGCGGGTGAGTGAGTGAGCGGGTGAGTGGGTGAGTGAGCGGGTGAATGGGTGAGTGAGCGGGTGAGTGAGTGAGTGGGTGAGTGGGTGAGCGGGTGAGTGGGTGAGCGGGTGAGTGGGTGAGCGAGTGAGCGGGTGAGCGAGTGAGCGGGTGAGCGGGTGAGCGAGTGAGCGGGTGAGTGGGTGAGCGGGTGAGTGGGTGAGCGAGTGAGCGGGTGAGTGGGTGAGTGAGCGGGTGAGCGAGTGAGCGTGTGAGTGGGTGAGCGAGTGAGCGGGTGAGTGGGTGAGCGAGTGAGCGGGTGAGCGAGTGAGCGTGTGAGTGGGTGAGCGAGTGAGCGGGTGAGTGGGTGAGTGGGTGAGCGCGTGAGCGGGTGAGCGAGTGGGTGAGCGAGTGGGTGAGCGGGTGAGTGGGTGAGCGAGTGAGCGCGTGAGCGAGTGAGCGGGCGAGTGAGTGGGTGGGTGAGCGGGTGAGTGGGTGAGTGGGTGAGCGGGTGAGTGAGCGAGTGAGCGGGTGAGTGGGTGAGCGAGTGAGCAAGTGAGTGAGCGAGTGAGTGGGCGAGTGAGCGGGTGAGTGAGTGGATGAGTGGGTGAGTGAGTGAGCGGGTGAGTGAGTGAGTGAGCGGGTGAGTGAGCGGGTGAGCGAGTGAGTGGATGAGCGGGTGAGCGAGTGAGTGGGTGAGTGAGTGGATGAGCGGGTGAGTGAGTGGCTGAGCGGGTGAGCGAGTGAGTGAGCGAGTGAGTGGATGAGCGGGTGAGCGAGTGAGTGAGCGGGTGAGCGAGCGGGTGAGTGAGTGAGTGGGCGAGTGAGTGGGCGAGTGAGCGGGTGAGTGAGTGGATGAGTGGGTGAGTGAGTGAGCGGGTGAGTGAGTGAGCGGGTGAGTGAGTGAGCGGGTGAGTGGATGAGTGAGCGGGTGAGTGGGTGAGTGAGCGGGTGAGTGGGTGAGTGAGTGGATGAGCGGGTGAGCGAGCGGGTGAGTGATCCCGAGTGAGTGGGTGAGTGATCCCGGGTGAGTGATCCCGGGTGAGTGAGTGGGTGAGTGGGTGAGTGATCCCGGGTGAGTGAGTGGGTGAGTGGGTGAGTGATCCCGGGTGAGTGAGTGGGTGAGTGATCCCGGGTGAGTGAGTGGGTGAGTGGGTGAGTGATCCCGGGTGAGTGATCCCGGGTGAGTGATCCCGGGTGAGTGATCCCGGGTGAGTGATCCCGGGTGAGTGATCCCGGGTGAGTGATCCCGGGTGAGTGATCCCGGGTGAGTGATCCCGGGTGAGTGATCCCGGGTGAGTGATCCCGGGTGAGTGATCCCGGGTGAGTGATCCCGGGTGAGTGATCCCGGGTGAGTGATCCCGGGTGAGTGATCCCGGGTGAGTGATCCCGGGTGAGTGATCCCGGGTGAGTGATCCCGGGTGAGTGATCCCGGGTGAGTGATCCCGGGTGAGTGATCCCGGGTGAGTGATCCCGGGTGAGTGATCCCGGGTGAGTGATCCCGGGTGAGTGATCCCGGGTGAGTGATCCCGGGTGAGTGATCCCGGGTGAGTGATCCCGGGTGAGTGATCCCGGGTGAGTGATCCCGGGTGAGTGATCCCGGGTGAGTGATCCCGGGTGAGTGATCCCGGGTGAGTGATCCCGGGTGAGTGATCCCGGGTGAGTGATCCCGGGTGAGTGATCCCGGGTGAGTGATCCCGGGTGAGTGATCCCGGGTGCGCACCCACGGGTGATTGTGCACCTGGCATGGCGCAAGCGCCGCGGTGACGTCAACGCCATTGACCGGTGAGCGGCGTTTTGTTGTTCTGGGTGGATGTGCGAGGGGAGGAGGAGGGCGGTCTGTCTGTGCGTGGGCTACTAATTGGGAGCGCGTGTGCGTTGGTGTGAGCGTGCCTCCCTGGAGTCATCCGCACGTCGCCCGCACTTCGCCATCTCTCCGCTCTGTGGCAACAGAGACAGTGTGCTTGCTGGAGAGATACGAGGGGGGAGAGAGGGCAGGGGGTGGGGTGAGAGGGAGGAGAGAGAGGGAGAGGCAGAAGGGAACGAGAGACGGAGGAGGAGAGAGGTGCAGGAGAGGAAGAGAGAGAGGGAGGAGGAGGAGAGAGGGACAAGACATATCCCCGCTCTCCACTCTCCCTCCCACCCAGCCAGCGTGTCCTCATTGTATCCACCACAACCACCTCCATATATACCTCCTCATTCATTCAAACACCCACATCATCCTCGTAATTCTGCTGTGTGTGTCCCCCACACCCCCCCCCCCCCACAACGATGAAGACCCACGCAGGGTGCATGTGCGGGCGACGAGGCGAGACCAGGAGCCACATCGCCAGGTGGGAGACAGACGAAGCGACGCCGGGTGCGCGTGGCTTGTGTCGTGGTGGTGGTCCGCGTGGTGTGTGTCGTGGTGGTGGTGTGTGTCGTGGTGGTCGTGGTGTGTGATGTGTGTCGTGGTGGTGGTGTGTGGTGTGTGTCGTGGTGGTGGTCGTGGTGTGTGTCGTGGTGGTGGTGTGTGTCGTCGTGGTCGTGGAGTGTGATGTGTGTCGTGGTGGTCGTGGTGTGTGTCGTGGTGGTGGTGGTCGTGGTGTGTGTCGTGGTGGTCGTGGTGTGTGATGTGTGTCGTGGTGGTGGTCGTGGTGTGTGTCGTGGTGGTCGTGGTGTGTGTCGTGGTGGTGGTGGTCGTGGGGTGTGTCGTGGTGGTGGTGTGTGTCGTGGTGGTCGTGGTGTGTGGTGTGTGTCGTGGTGGTGGTCGTGGTGTGTGTCGTGGTGGTGGTGGTCGTGGTGTGTGTCGTGGTGGTCGTGGTGTGTGATGTGTGTCGTGGTGGTGGTCGTGGTGTGTGTCGTGGTGGTCGTGGTGTGTGTCGTGGTGGTGGTGGTCGTGGGGTGTGTCGTGGTGGTGGTGTGTGTCGTGGTGGTGTGTGATGCCTTCCCTGCTCGCTCCACGATCTCGTTCGAGTCGTTCTCTCGGTGTGCCAGGAGGGAGCCGATCCACGGGTGCCGTCTGGCGTATGGGATAGTCACGCGTGCACTGTATGTGACCGTGTACATTGTGCGTGCGCGCACACACACGTGTTTGTGCGTGTGTGTGTTTTGTTGCGGGGAGCGGTGGCGCAGCGGTTAGCGCGCTGCGCTACGAACCCGGCGACCCGAGTTCAATTCCCGCTCACGGCCAACGCCGGTGACGATTATTTGAACCGGTCCTGGGCCTCCCCTAGATCGACTCGGCGCCAAATGAGTACCTGGTGCGGTGTGTAAACATCGCCACTAGGGAGACAAAGGCGGCCGGGGCGTGGTGCTGACCATCCACTCCCTCGTGTGCCGTGCCGGCCTTCATACAGCACTTGCCCCTACAGTCTGTTAAGGCTACACGGGGAATCTTTGTGTGGGGAGCGGTGGCGCAATGGTTAGCGCAATCTATTACGAACGTGAATGTGCCGGTCCTGCAATGAGAGTCGGGCGTGGTGCTACCCGCTCGTGTGCTCGCTAACAGCACTTGCCCCAACACTCTGTTCAGCCTATGGCGGGGATTTATATTATACGCGTTTGTGCATATAAATATATATATAATATATAAATATATTCAAATGAGCACACTGGTAAATGATTCGAATCTAATATATATGAGATCCGAATCATTGTCCTTCGTCCGGAACCAGCGGTGAGACGTTACACATGTCTGTGGCATGGCCACGTGTTTTCTGAACACAGCAACCACCATCGATTTTTTTTCATCAGGTGGTACTCATTTTACCGACCAGGTGGAATAATGATTATATTTCACGAAACAGAGGCACTATTGCACAGTCAACAGATTTAAATTAAACATTAGATACTGTGTACAAAGTATACACCGGTTTACTTCATGCAGAAACACCTTTCGTCAAATACAATACCCCCTATTTGTTATACTAATGAACAGTTTGTCTCTCCACTGCTGGATGAAGACCTCTCCACGCCTCTTCAGATATCACTTGCCACTGATATGAGCCGTGGGCACGGGAATCGAACTCAGGTTGCCAAGTTTACCGGGTAGAAACGCTGACCAGTTTGCACCGTTCACTCCGTCTTTCATCACTACCTCATTGTACGTGGACGAACTTCAGTGACGTAATTCTGAATATTTTCTGTAAGGGCGAGAAAGGTAACATTCGGTTACGCGTGGAGTCGATTCTTAGAACTAGCGAAATTCACAAACGTAAACTGTTTCAAATTGGTCACCAAGGAAATACAGCGGTGGAGTTTGATTGGTGTCACATATAGGACAGGGTCAGCCTAAATCTCTTGCCTATAACCTGAAAATAAATATATACGAACTCCGTCGTAAGTCGAGGCATTTTTAAGTGAAGCAACTGCGTGCTCTGGCTGATTGGAGTCGTGTGTTTTGCCCATTAGTGAAGCTTCAAACTGGCGTTGGAAATAACTGCGTTTGGATCGAGTCCTCAATATACAGAAACAAGTATTTCTTAAAGAATTTAACCTACAGCACATGATCGTACGTTAAAGTGCCTGCGTTGCAGGAGCGATATTGTTTGTTCTTGCAATGACCCGATATGCTGCTACCAAAAGTTAAATTACTGGACAGGAAGCGTCATTGCTCTATACCAGGCCCGTGTTGCCACCAATGTCTACTCAGACTTAAATGAGTACATTCCTTGAAGATACTAGTGTGTCGTCAACCGCATCAGAAAATCATCAGACTGATGTGAACATCTCCTTCATGAGTGGAACATTAACGACAAGCCACAGCAGAGCGATTGTGGCCATGCGACCCGAACTCTGGACCGTACACATAGCAAACCACTGAAGTCTGCACTTCTTCAATGGAGGTGGAATAGCAAAAACTACACGAACTCTCTCTCTCTCTTGAAGCCCTCTCCCAATGGCTAGCAGCAGACCTCGACATTGACACCGAGCTCTCCCAACATATTATTGCCACCATACACAAGAGTAGAATAGAACGAGTACTTGGAGTCCTGGTGAGCATCAATGAGCGTTTAGGAGATGCCCCCAGTCTATAAGGCTACACGGTGGATATGTGTAGCTGTGTGTGGAGGAGGCTCGTGAAGGACGCTACTGGGCAGTTGGAGGCAGTCACTTTCCAACAATAACTGAGGGCAGAGGAGCGTCGGATGGATAAATCACAGCAAGTTGGCACAGTATTGGGTACAGCTGGTGCATCTGCCAGTCATCTCCGTCAGCCAAACCATGGCACCTGGGTCTGTCCCGTGACCTGTCAGCGAGCCTTCGACACTTCACATGGGCTCTAAGTGCACCTGGCCTGGCACAGGCGCCGTGGTGACGTCACAGTCACCTAGTGGCGAATGGCGGGTGTTCGTGTTCTGTAGTGTCCACCAGATTCCAGGTTGGAGCTGGGTCGTAACCGCTCTGCTAATCCACAGGGTGCGCGCACTGTGGATTACGGCACTGTGCCGTGCGGTCATCCAGGGCGTTACAAGCCAGTCGTCTGGATTGTCTCTCTTTACTTACTAAGCGTATTTAATTGCAACCGCGAGTTGCTGTTTCCCTAAACGTATAATTAAAGTAAATTAAGTAAACGAAAACTAGCATGACCCACATTCTGTGTGCTTGCTAACTACATGCAAAAACATCTCTGCAGGATAAAGGAATCTCACTTGAATATATCTCCACCTCGATTTTATCTTCAAAACTATTTGCACCATCACTAGGTCCTTTCTCACAACGTGATGTTACTATCACAGTATGAAAAAGCCAGTAATATGTTTTACGAACATTTTGTTTGTGTTTCTGTGTGTGTGTGCATTTGCATTTTTGTATTTGTGGCTGTGTGTGCATATTTTTGTGTTTGTTAATGTGTGTGTACCCATAATACCATCAATAGGTCAAGGCATTGGGCTATTCTTTATATTCTAGATTTGTCTATGAAGCCATCCAGATATACAAACATAGACACGACTTCAACCGAGAGGATGGTTTTAAATTAAGCAATCACTGGAAAGATGTCATCAACCAAGTCAAACTTAAATTGGCTTAGAATTGTACAGCCATTTCCATTTCTTCCAGTTGGCTGTGCTTGCTTTCGATCACCGCTCGCAATCGCCTCTCCGTCCCCTCACCCCTCTGCAGCATAACAATAGGCGGCTTAACTTAGCCCCCCCCCCCCTTAACCTGTATATAATATCGGGTATCTTAGAGCTCTCTGCACTTGATACAGCAATTTTGCTGTGACAGTTTCCACTTGAAGACGGAAGCTTGTGTTGGCTCCGAAACATCGTGATTTTATTTAGTTTTCATTTATTTTACCTATGTGACTTGACCGAAAAAAACTATTCCTTATACTTTCAGGGTCCCTGAACCTCTGCCTACAACCATTAAGGACCTTCATGATGGTGGGCAGTCCTGAATAATCCTGCGTGGCTGTCAGAGTGAGAACTGTTTCCTGTTCACCTTGAGGTGCAACAGGGGTGTCATCTGGCCCCTACACTATTTAAAATGTTTTTGTTGTCACATCGTTCAAGAAGCTTTTCTATGGCTGCCCTGGAGGAGTTCATCTGGCACAGATACAATAATGGGGAGCTGATCAATGCCTCGGTGTGGTCAAGGGATGGCTCCCTATTGCTTAAACATGTTATCTATGCTGATGATTTGGTAATTGCTGTTCACTCTGAGAAGGAGCATGCCAATAAGAGATGGGGCAAAGCACCTGCCTGGGTATTTTATGTCATGATGGGGCAGTTGTGGAAATCGTGGAGGAGTTTCATATATGGGCAATGTAGTTATGACTATATCCTATTTGGCAGCTTCATACAAAGTTCTGGGTCTTCTCGCCCATGATTATGCATTCTCTTGATGCTTGTGAAACATTAACCCCTTCAAAAGAATATCCGCACCAGTTTGAAACATTCAGGCTGGCTTGCCTGCAATCCATTCTGGGTTTAACTAGACTGGAGTGTGTGAGGAACTCACATATCCTTGACACATCTGAACACAGTCCAATTAGTGAGCTCCTCAGGCACGCAAGGCTGCTTTGGGTGGGTCATGTAGCTCGCATATCCAACCACACCGCATGCGTAAGCAGCTTCAGTTTGGCTGGATAGAGGGGGCTAAAATATGGAGAGAAGATGGGCTTATGTGGTACAGAAGGATGTGGAGTTGATTGGATTTGTTGAGATCACCTTCTGTTGAATCAGAAAGGGTTTTATTCGCCATGAAAGTTCGTACAGACAAGGAATTTACTTTGGCAGGAAGGTGCATACATTCAACATATAGGAATCTTAAATCTTAAATAAGTGGTATACAAGTCTAACTATACTAAAGGTACAGAGTCTAACTAACACTAAGGGGCTAAAGTATG